CTATTGGTAGGACAAATAGGATTTTCAATTGTATCAACAGAAATATTAAATACAAGTCTAAAGAGGTTATAATTTCATTGTACAGATCATAGATTAGGCCACAATTGGAATATTGTGTTCAGTCTAGGGCTCTTTACCTTAGGATAGGCAATTAATTGTTGGAAAGGGTTCAGAGGATGGTTAGTAGTATGGTGACTGGGATGGAGACGTTGTTATACGAGGAGAAGCTAAAATCTCTTAAGTTAAGGGGGATCTGATTTAAGTGTTTAAGATTGTAAAGATAGTGTTGTGCCTCATCTTTTTTCATACTTAACAGTGAGAATAGTAGGACTAGGGGACAAATATAAATTTTGGCAAGGTAGGAGTCATCTTCAGCTAAGACACTTTTATTTTGCTAACAGGGTGGTTGGCCTTAGGAATGGGTTGCCTTCAGATGTTGTAGAGGCAGCAAATTTAAGTGAGTTTAAGAAAATGTTTGATAAGTATATAAATGATAAGGGCTGGCTTTAAGATTTGTTTTTTTAATTTATTTATTAATAGTTTTAGTTTAGTTTAGATGATGGAACAGCTGAGATGGACCAGTAGGTCCCATGTTGTCCCAAAACACTACCTTCTGTTAGCTGTATTAAAAATGTTGAGGTACTACAGAATGATTGACCAATTGATAAGTTGGACAAATATTTGGCAAATGACCCTTAATTATAGTAAGTGCAAGGCAATGCATTTGGGTATACAAACTAGGGGGAAAACTTTTGAAATACCCTGTACAGCCATCAGATTTGTTCAGAACTCTACGTATCTAACCTCATACGAGAGTAGACTAGGCAGGTCACTTAACTGTTTTACTTACTTTAAAGAAACAGTACTGCCTTTTACATTTTGCAAATTTTCTGCATTCAAATACAAAATACCTCATTAAAAAAAAATTGTTCCATTTGCAAAGCTTGATTGCAAGGTTAAACCTATTCCGGAACATGATACCCACCAAACATCTCTAGTATAAGAAACACTTTGAGCAAAATTGGCTGATCAAAAATGACAAACCAGTTGACTTGTATAATAAGAGACACAAGATCTAGTGACGCTTTCAAAACCTGAGTATTAGGGGCAAGTATTAAAACTTCGTGATATTGCTCCCAGGTTCCTACTCAACAGAGTTACAGTACTGGTACTTTCTCTATAAAGAAATGAAGAAATTCATACACAAAAACTTAACATATAAACATTGCTGTTTGAGATTAGGCTCTCGGGAATAACAGATTGATTCCCCAAATACCTTTCACTTTGCAATATATATAATAGTAATACTATCAACACAAACCCCTCCCTTACACATATGATGATGTAGTCCATACTTTTAATTTCATTTTGTATAGTTCAATGAAGTTTAAAAATCTTCTCACACTCATACGGTGACATCATTGATACTTCCCTATTCCAGTTTTTACATAGTTTAATGAAGTTTAAGAAGCTTCACACACACACACACACACACACACCACTCTTAAGTATATAGAATGAAACACACTTAATACCATGACTGAAGAAAATGATTTTGGCTTAGTGATGGATAACTAACTCAAGCCATTGAAGTAGTATTCTTTTGCTTGGAGTAAAACTAATAGATTTTAAGAGTGTATTTACAAACATTGATTACATTTCAAAAGGAATAATATCTCCTTCATGAAGGTCAGTCCTTCATCTAAAAATAAAAGATTTTTTAATCCAACTTAAATATACCATTTAGCATCTATATACCTATCCAGCAAACTTTTGTAATTCATACTAACAACCCAAACAACATAACTTTGTAACTCAAGTCAATAAAAATAATTCCATCAAAGAATAAGTGTATTAGTTTCATTATCATTCTAGTGCATTTCCTAGAAATCCCCATAACTTAAACATTTGTCTGTTTGGGTTTGAGGTGAGTGAAGCCTAGTGGTTAATGTGCTTTGGAGTCACAGGAGTGCAATAAAGTGGTGGTTAAATCCTACTGTTTGGTTAGATCAGATTAGCCTAAGAGTTGGCAGTGGATACTGTTGATTATCATTTCATAATAAGAGACACCTATGAATTGATAGCCCCAATGTTGCTTTGCACAAATAATTCTAAAAAAGAATAATAATAATATTGTTCCCAGTTTACTAAAGCACTTGGTGGATTTTGGAAGTATTAGGTCATAAAGAAATTAATGTAGCTTTTTTTTTTTTAGATTAAAAAACCCAAACAACTTGTATATCAAAACAAAACATTTATTAAATGAAATAGTCTTCATTCTTTTCGATGGTGTTTTTCCATCTTACAATCAGTTTGTTA